CCACACTCACTCACCTCCACACTCACTCACCTCCACACTCACTCACCTCCACACTCACTCACCTCCACACTCACTCACCTCCACACTCACTCACCTCCACACTCACTCACCTCCACACTCACTCACCTCCACACTCACTCACCTCCACACTCACTCACCTCCACACTCACTCACCTCCGCCGCCGCCGCCTCCTCCTCCTCCTCGCCCGCCTGTCCTTCTCACTCGCCCGCCTGTCCTCCTCACTCACACACACACTCACTCGCTCGCTCGCTCGCTCGCTCACTCACTCACTCACTTACTCACTCACTCTTTCTTCTCTCACATCTCTCACTCACACACACCACACTCACATCACTCACTCACAGTCTCACTCACTTACCTGTGCACATGGCTTATCATCATCATCGTCATCATCATCATCAACAACATCATCAATATCATAGTAATGATGTTGGTTTTAGAATATGATAATTCAACATCAAAATAGATATTTTTTCCTTCATCAAATATCACACAGATTGTTTTATGATGAATAGCTATATAGAACTATTTTTTTAAATGATGACGGGTTATTTATGATATGTTATTGGTGATGGCATGCTATGATGAACATAGCTCTGAACAGGTGTGCTCTGAAGTGGACATTTCAACTCGGGCATCTGAACAACTCACTGAGGTCAGCACAGAAGCACTTGCGATCACCCCACTTCTGACCGCATCCTTCTCATCCGCCTAGCCCCCTCCATCACTCTTATACTTTCTCTTCCCTTCTTGCTTCTCTATGCCCAGTCTAAGTCTATATAGAGAAGTTGGTAACATGTGGGGTTATCCGGTCCTATAATTTTGTTTTTTTCGAGATGTATACACATGTACAACCTGGCATGATCACAGTGATTATATGCTCACGTGTTCAAATCTGTTTGTTTCCACTTACTTCACATTGTCGATTGTTTTGAGGCCATGTCGCCGTTCACAGCAACTTCGGTAGCCCTACGATTGCCGGAGGCAGTGAATGGCAGTGAATGGCACTTTCGCAGGAATTCCTGGACCTGGAGCCGTTCAGATGTCCTTCCTGCAAGGTGCAGATGCAGATGGACCAGCCCCCTGCATCAAGGGAATAGTTCCCTTGATGCGGAAGGCTGGTCAATTTGTACCGTACGCTGGAACACCTGTGCGAAGACCGAGGCTGATCTGGGCGTATATACATTGCAATTTGTCTGACATTCCTATCCAAGATTATCCAAATAAGATCAAATAAGGTATCTGGAATGTATATGCGGTGCATTCTCTCAAGTGTCGCGCAGCATTTATCATATTTATCTCCGGACAAAATCACCAAAGAAATGAAATTAGATTCTGCAATCACATGGGAGATGGTAAGGAGGTCCAAAGGGCAATGCTGGTTGGGGACAAGGCAAGTTCAGCTATTTGTGCGCAGTCCCTATTTGCAGTTTGTGTATCACAATCGAAAAACCTGGCTTTCTTGGAACCTTTTCATCCACTGCCGCCAAGTCTGGCGAGGAGTCTACAGTGAGAGTTTCTCACATGGACTCCTTGCCAGATTTGAAAGGCTCCCCACCAATGGCCAGATGTGGCCACTATATAATTTCCGCAATGTGTTCAAAAAGACACCGAAAGGCCGTGAAGCAGCAGATCAGGAGAGTCTGCCTTTTGTCCTTTTGTAGATGCCACAGTGCCATATTTTTTTGGCGTTTTTTTGGGGGGTCAACTTTTGCATGCGCAAATTGCGCGTCTCAGTGGCTGTCCCTGTTTGGACAGACTGAAAACCGAAAAAAACTTGGATCCAGCCACGATCAGAAAAAGATGCGGTTGGAAATCTTCATATCCAAAATAATTTGAAGCAACTCCAAGACTTAAACAACAGCAGGACTTCAGCTGGAAGTTGCCTATATTGCAAAATCAACATAAACGGTGTGCAAACCTTGTGCTGCAACATTTTCAGCCTGACAGAAGCTTGCACCTACATCGTTGCGCAGTCTGCAAGCTCTTTTTTTTGGTCCATGGTTGCATGGATGTCACATATGGGTTGCGCACATAGAAGGTAACGAGCTGCTCACGTGAACTGAAACCCGCTCACTTCAAGTGAACTGAAACCCCTGCGGTTCATTCTTTTGCTTTCTTCGCTGGATGGCCAACAGACATCGAGAAATGAAACAGTTTCAACATCTTTGGATCCAGAGTTCAAACAGATCTCGTTTGCTTTGCCAAGCAGCGTGGGTTTTGCCATTGTATTTCAGGCCCGCAAAAAATCCCTCCGTTCAGCCGGTGCCCAGTCAACGCGGTTGAGCCGTGATATGTCTTTGGTCTGTTTTGAAAGGGAATGTGCTAAACATGTCCGGATGTATTTCAGCATGTGAGTCATGCAAGACCCTTCAACATCGATCCCAAAAACATCCAGTAGCCGCAATGACTCTTCGATGCTCAACGCGTAGGCGTAATTAATACCAGTATGTTTCGACATGAACAAACACCAATACATTTTGCAGCTGCTAAGTGAATTCTGGTAGAAAGTATTTTGATTTGAGAGAGCATATACAAGTACATCATGTACTACAATTAATTGTTGTTGTGCAAGTTTAAATACAAGGCCTGACACAGGTTGACAGGATGTGGTCGCTTCAGGATGTTTTTGGTGGCACTTCACCGGGCTACCAGATGACGAGGCTTGACTGGACATGGCCGGATGCTGTCCATGTTTGCTTTCATCACATTACAAGGTATTGCCAAAGGGAATTGTCAACTCAGAGTTAAGTCTGCCTTCCAACTCCAGAGAAACTGTGATTATTGTGCGTATAGACTAAATACAGTAGATCTAAATAGATCGATTAAAAAGATGCTATGCTAGTGCCGTTGGAGGGCTTGATTCATCGGTGAGTCACCGACGCCAATCTGCGCCCATCTCGGAGGTCTGGAGCGGTTGCGGAAGTGGATGTCATTGGACAGCAGGCGTTGTTTGATGATTTGTTTGGTAGAGTTTGTCAAGCCAACAAATCCACGCATGGTGCACGACGTTAAATACAAAATCTCTATTTTTTTTGAGTTCTTCAGGTGATTCTTTCGTAAGGGTTCTGTCATTGTAATAATATTTTGAACTTTTTATTACGAAAGCCAGCCGGGAAGCTGGCTAGTTGCTATTTGCGAACGAAGTGAGAATAGGGGGTCTGGGGGGGGTAGTTGCCAAACGGGTCAAAAATCGGGAAAATATGTGGTGATTTTAGTGAGAAAAAAGTATGGTTTTCCAGGGTAATGTACCAGGCGGCAAAACAGTGACGGTGGGTATCGATTCCCCCTAGGTCCGGTTTTCTGGGGGTTTCTGGGCTCAGTCAATGGACAGATAGATGGGCCAGCTAGTTAGAGGAGATTGGAGAGAGAAGGACATTGAATGAAAAGTATGTGCAAGAAGGGCTTCTGGGTGAAGAGTCGCTGGGTGAAAAGTATATGGGTGAAAAGTCTGTGCAAGAAGAGTTTCTGGGTGAAGAGTCTCTGGGTGAAAAGCCTGTGCAAGAAGGGTTTTTGGGTGAAAAGTCTCTGGGTGAAAAGTATATGGGTAAAAAGTATGTGCAAGAAGAGTTTCTGGGTGAAGAGTCTCTGGGTGAAGAGTATATGAGTGAAAAGTATGTGCAAGAAGAGTTTCTGGGTGAAGAGTCTCTGAGTAAAAAGTATATGGGTGAAAAGCATGTGCAAGAAGAGTTTCTGGGTGAAGAGTCTCTGGGTGAAATGTCTGTGCAAGAAGAGTTTCTGGGTGAAGAGTCTCTGGGTGAAAAGTATATGGGTGAAAAGTATGTGCAAGAAGAGTTTCTGGGTGAAGAGTATTTGGGTGAAAAGTATATGGGTGAAAAGTATGTGCAAGAAGGGTTTCTGGGTGAAAAGTATGTGAAAGAAGAGTTTCTGGTTGAAAAGTATGTGCAAGAAGAGTTTCTGGGTGAAGAGTCTCTGGATGAAAAGTATATGGGTGAAAAGTATGTGCAAGAAGAGTTTCTGGGTGAAGAGTCTCTGGGTGAAAAGTATATGGATGAAACATATGTGCAAGAAGAGTTTCTGGGTGAAGAGTCTCTGGGTGAAAAGTATATGGGTGAAAAGTATGTGCAAGAAGAGTTTCTGGGTGAAGAGTCTCTGGGTGACAAGTATATGGGTGAAAAGTATGTGCAAGAAGAGTTTCTGGGTGAAGAGTCTCTGGGTGAAAAGTATATGAGTGAAAAGTATGTGCAAGAAGAGTTTCTGGGCGAAGAGTCTCTGGGTGAAAAGTATATGGGTGAAAAGTATGTGCAAGAAGAGTTTCTGGGTGAAGAGTCTGTGGGTGAAAAGTTTATGGGTGAAAAGTATGTGCAACAAGAGTTTCTGGGTGAAGAGTCTCTGGGTGAAAAGTATATGGGTGAAAAGTATGTGCAAGAAGAGTTTCTGGGTGAAGAGTTTCTGAATAAGAGTCTCTGGGTGAAAAGTCTGTGCAAGAAGAGTTTCTGGGTGAAGAGTCTCTGGGTGAAAAGTATATGGGTGAAAAGTATGTGCAAAAAGAGTTTTTGGGTGAAGAGTTTCTGGGTGAAGAGTATATGGGTGAAAAGTATGTGCAAGAAGAGTTTCTGGGTGAAGAGTCTCTGGGTGAAAAGTATATGGGTGAAAAGTATGTGCAAGAAGAGTTTCTGGGTGAAGAGTCTCTGGGTGAAAAGTATATGGGTGAAAAGTATGTGCAAGAAGAGTTTCTTGGTGAAGAGTCTATGGGTGAAAATATTTGGTTGAAAAGTATTTGTAAGAAGAGTTTCTGGGTGAAGAGTCTCTGGGTGAAAAGTATATGGGTGAAAAGTATGTGCAAGAAGAGTTTCTGGGTGAAGAGTCTATGGGTGAAAAGTATATGGGTGAAAAGTATTTGCAAGAAGAGTCTATGGGTGAAAAGTATGTGGGTGAAAAGTATATGGTTGAAAAGTATGTGCAAGAAGAGTAAGAAGAGTCTTTGGGTGAAAAGTATATGGGTGAAATGTTTGTGCAAGAAGAGTTTCTGGGTGAAGAGTCTCTGGGTGAAGAGTATATGGGGGAAATGTTTGTGCAAGAAGAGTTTCTGGGTGAAGAGTCTATGGGTGAAAAGTTTGTGGGTGAAAAGTATTTGCAAGAAGAGTTTCTGGGTGAAGAGTCTCTGGGTGAAAAGTATATGGGTGAAAAGTATGTGCAAGAAGAGTTTCTGGGTGAAGAGTCTATGGGTGAAAATATGTGGGTGAAAAGTATTTGTAAGAAGAGTTTCTGGGTGAAGAATCTCTGGGTGAAAAGTATATGGGTGAAAAGTATGTGCAAGAAGAGTTTCTGGGTGAAGAGTCTCTGGGTGAAAAGTATATGGGTGAAAAGTATGTGCAAGAAGAGTTTCTGGGTGAAGAGTCTCTGGGTGAAAAGTATGTGGGTGAAAAGTATGTGCAAGAAGAGTTTCTGGGTGAAGAGTCTCTGGGTGAAAAGTATGGGTGAAAAGTATGTGCAAGAAGAGTTTCTGGGTGAAGAGTCTCTGGGTGAAAAGTATGTGCAAGAAGAGTTTCTGGGTGAAGAGTCTCTGGGTGAAAAGTATATGTGTGAAAAGTATGTGCAAGAAGAGTTTCTGGGTGAAGAGTCTCTGGGTGAAAAGTATATGGGTGAAAAGTATGTGCAAGAAGAGTTTCTGGGTGAAGAGTTCTGGTGAAAAGTATATTGGTGAAAAGTATGTGCAAGAAGAGTTTCTGGGTGAAGAGTCTCTGGGTGAAAAGTATATGGGTGAAAAGTATGTGCAAGAAGAGTTTCTGGGTGAAGAGTCTCTGGGTGAAAAGTATATGGGTGAAAAGTATGTGCAAGAAGAGTTTCTGGGTGAAGAGTCTTTGGGTGAAAAGTATATGGATGAAAAATATGTGCAAGAAGAGTTTCTGGGTGAAGAGTCTCGGGGTGAAAAGTATATGGGAGAAAAGTATGTGCAAGAAGAGTTTCTGGGTGAAGAGTCTCTGGGTGAAAAGTATATGGGTGAAAAGTATGTGCAAGAAGAGTCTCTGGGTGAAAAGTATGTGCAAGAAGAGTTTCTAGGTGAAGAGTCTCTGGGTGAACAGTATATTGGTGAAAAGTATGTGCAAGAAGAGTTTCTGGGTGAAGAGTCTCTGGGTGAAAAGTATATGGGTGAACGGTTTGTGCAAGAAGAGTTTCTGGGTGAAGGGTCTCTGGGTGAAAAGTATATGGGTGAAAAGTATGTGCAAGAAGAGTTTCTGGGTGAAGAGTCCCTGGGTGAAAAGTATGTGCAAGAAGAGTTTCTGGGTGAAGAGTCTGTGGGTGAAAAGTATATTGGTGAAAAGTATGTGCAAGAAGAGTTTCTGGGTGAAGAGTCTCTGGGTGAAAAGTATATGGGTGAAAAGTATGTGCGAGAAGAGTTTCTGGGTGAAGAGTCTATGGGTGAAAAGTATATGGGTGAAAAGTATGTGCAAGAAGAGTTTCTGGGTGAAGAGTCTCTGGGTGAAAAGTATATGGGTGAAAAGTATGTGCAAGAAGAGTTTCTGGGGGAAGAGTTTCTGGGTGAAAAGTATATGGGTGAAAAGTATGTGCAAGAAGAGTTTCTGGGTGAAAGTATATGGGTGAAAAGTATATGGGTGAAAAGTATGTGCAAGAAGAGTTTCTGGGTGAAAGTATATGGGTGAAAAGTATATGGGTGAAAAGTATGTGCAAGAAGAGTTTCTGGGTGAAGAGTCTCTAGGTGAAAAGTATATGGGTGAAAAGCATGTGCAAGAAGAGTTTCTGGGTGAAGAGTCTCTAGGTGAAAAGTATATGGGTGAAAAGTATGTGCAAGAAGAGTTTCTGGGTGAAAAGTCTGTGCAATAAGAGTTTTTGGGTGAAGAGTCTCTGGGTTAAAAGTATATGGGTGAAAAGTACGTGCAAGAAGAGTTTCTGAGTGAAAAGTCTGTGCAAGACGAGTCTCTGGGTGAAGGGTCTCTGGGTGAAAAGTATATGGGTGAAAAATTAGTGCAAGAAGAGTCTCTGGGTGAAATGTTTGTGCAAGAAGAGTTTCTGGGTGAAGAGTCTCTGGCTAAAAAAGTATATGGGTGAAAAGTATGTGCAAGAAGAGTTTCTGGGTGAAGAGTCTATGGGTGAAAAGTATATTGGTGAAAAGTATGTGCAAGAAGAGTTTCTGGGTTAAAAGTCTGTGCAATAAGAGTTTCTGGGTGAAGAGTCTATGGGTGAAAGTATATGGGTGAAAAGTATGTGCAAGAAGAGTTTCTGGGTGAAAAGTCTGTGCAATAAGAGTTTCTGGGTGAAGAGTCTCTGGGTGAAAAGTATATGGGTGAAAAGTATGTGCAAGAAGAGTTTCTGGGTGAAAAGTCTTTGCAATAAGAGTTTCTGGGTGAAGAGTCTCTGGGTGAAAAGTATATGGGTGAAAAGTATGTGCAAGAAGAGTTTCTGGGTGAAAAGTCTTTGCAATAAGAGTTTCTGGGTGAAGAGCCTCTGGGCGAAAAGTATATGGGTGAAAAGTATGTGCAAGAAGAGTTTCTGGGTGAAAAGTATGTGCAAGACGAGTTTCTGGGTGAAGAGTCTCTGGGTGAAAATATTGGGGAACATGACGGGATAGATGGGATGCTGGCTTTCGTTCCCCCCTTCTCAGGTAATGTATATATATATATATACATAGTTTTTTGTATGTTTCCCAGAGGGTAACTATTAACCATCAACCATAGATTATCCATATATTAACCATAGATTAACCATATATTAACCATATATATATATATATTTAATCCATATATTAACCATATATCCCCCCAGTGATGTTCGTTGGTTTATAAGCCCCAGTAACCATAGTTATTTGCGTACCATAAACCCTAGTTATTGGACTTATTGGCACCAACTGAACGCTATCTTGGGGGCCTCACGACTTGTCCAGAGGGTAACTATTAACCATCAACCATAGATTATCCATATATTAACCATAGATTAACCATAGATTAACCATTGATTAACCATATATATACATATATCGTGAAATCACAGCAAGGCTGAGGACAATGGTCGCAGATGTCGGCGGTGCCTCGACAGCAATGGTCGCAATTCAAGACGAGGTGCCAGCCCAAAAAAGGAAAACATATTATGAGAAGCACGGATTCATACTATGTATGGTATGAATTAATATATGGTATTCATATTTTTTTGTGGGTATTCATAGCCAATAAAGCATAATATTGCGAACACATATTTATATGTATTCTACTTGTTTTTTGGATGTGCACTGATGAACCATCCACAGTTTTTGGTGTTTTTTTTTGTAAATGGGGTTTAAGCATGAAACATGGTGGTCTAATATGGTTTCATACTTGGATTTAACCATTCAACATGATGGTGATATTATGTGAAATTCATAGGGTTATCATGATTTAACAAGTTTCAAAAGATGTGACCTAAACTAACTATGAGAAGTTGGATTAACCCATCGGGGTTGATCAGTCCATTTTCATAGCTGTCCAGGTCGATGTTGATGGAGCTTCGCCTTGTTGAAGCCCAACATTCAGACCCCGATATTGCGTGGTGTTAGGTTTTAAAGAGATAGAGACAGGGTTCACACAAACCACCCTCCGGTAAACTACGATAACATACGATAACTATGGAAAACCACCATCCTTACTAGGTATATCAACTATCAACGGCCATTTTCAATAGTTTAAACTGTTTACCAGAGAGTAGACATCTCAAAAATGGGCCAAAAAGTAGCGAGCATCAGGTCCAAGATGCTGCTTCCCCAGTTCAGTGCTTTGGCGGCCCTGATGGCTCAAGTCTGGGTTTTCGAAAACAGAAAGTCTTTCTTGAGCACACCTGCTTCGCCGCTTTGCTGGTGTGCCATGGCTGCACAAAAAGTCAGTGGTTTCTACCGAAAAAACTTGGTATTTGGGGTCACAACCATATCCTCTGCGGTTGATATAGTTGGTTTCACCATAGTACTGATAGTACTGCAGCTTGGGGTGATGGGGTGAAAGTGTCAACCATTTGTGAGCTATTGGCTTCGATCACTATGGAATCTATGGAAAACCCCTGTACTGATTTGGGGCCAAAAGGGTTGTGCCCGTCTTAAAAAGTGTGCCCGTCGACATGCCAAAACGACGTAAGTGTGCCCGTAGACATGCCAAAACGACGTGCCGCGATGGCAAATGTTTATAGTGCGGGAATATGTTTATATTGCGGGGTGATTTTTTAACATGTCGACGCGTGGTATCCAAAGTTTAAGGGGTGCTAACCTCAAGACTACAGTCATTGGAGGCAAGGTAGGCTTGAAGGATATTTCCCCCTGACGTACAATGATGTGAGTCACTGGCATGAGTTCCTTCACTTCTGGTTCAACGAGTCCGCCTTAATGTGGGGACCCAATGCCAGACACCGCGGGGGCCCTTTTTTCTTCTTTTAACACTTCGATGGTTAGGTTGGACAGAGGGACGGTTAATATTGGGGTTTGCCACTGTACTCTGGAAACCGTGGCTATACAATCTGCCCATCCATTGCTTTGGGCCAGGTTTGATAAAGGACATGGCTATACATGGCTTCAATCCTATGGCTCAGGAGGAATTCTTGCAATCCCTTGAGAGGGCCCAAAAGAGACCGGTAGAAACCGTAGGACCACAGGGCTTGCAAGATCCTGGCACTGCAGTTTTTGCCAAGTACATAAACAACACGAACTAATATAGGTTTGCCAGAAAAGATGGCCCTCCAAAATCCCATAGCTTAGTTTTTTTTCCCTCAAAATACTATACATAAAGCAGCGGCCCTCATGTTTCCGCTTTTTTTCGGCGGCATCCTGTTGTTTTTAATTGGTGTGTAGTTCACCCCATTAAGGTGACGTTGAAAAGCGACATATAAGGACTCCTGTTCTCGTTGGTTCAATTTCCTGTTTGTTGATGAAATTATGGTCGCAATGCGCAACCTCGTTTTTTGATGTGTTTTGTTTGCTGGCGCAAGTCTTAGTTGCCAAGTTTTTCTGGTTCAAACACATTTTTCCGAGACTTGGTTAAACAGGACATGTTTGAGAATCAACACAGCAGTTGGATATCAAGAAATTGCAGATTCCCGGCTTACTGCAAGAAATCCTTGAAATCAAACTGTGCCATGTCATGTTGTGACATATACGTACCTGTTTTGTTGGTTCAATTCTCTTTCTTCTTGGTTCGTTCCGAACTTTGTTGGAAGTCCTCAAGGTTTGACCTTAGGTGCTTGCTGGGATGCCACCAAAGAGTACAAGAGCGCATGACAGCGAATCCTCCGGTTCGGCGTCGACTTTGACAGGTTGGAAAGATGAATTAAGCCAGATGAGTCTGTGTGATATATAATGATATATATATATATATTTAATTATACATATATATATATACTGTATTTATAATCATACATACATACATACATACATACATTACATTACATTACACTACACTACATTACATTACATTACATTACATTAATACATTAATACATACATACATACATACATACATACATACATACATACATACATACATACATACATACATACATACATACATACATACATACATACATACATACATACATACATACATACATACATACATACATACATACATACATACATACACTACATACTACATACACTACATACACTACATACACTACATACACTACATACACTACATACACTACATACACTACATACACTACATACACTACATACACTACATACACTACATACACTACATACATACATACATACATACATACATACATACATACATACATACATACATACATACATACATACATACATACATACATACATACATACATACATACATACATACATACATACGGGAGAAGCATCAAAAAAATATAAATGCATCAAAAAAAATATAAATGCATCAAAAAAAAATAAATGACCATGAAGAAAGGAGGGAAGGAGGAAAGGAGGGAAGGAGGGAAGGAGGGAAGGAAGGAAGGAGGGAAGGAGGGAAGGAAGGAAGGAAGGAGGGAAGGAGGAAAGGAGGGAAGGAGGAAAGGAGGGAAGGAGGGAAGGAGGGAAGGAGGAAAGGAGAAAAGGAGGGAAGGAAGGAAGGAATGCAGGCAGGCAGGCAGACAGGCAGGCAGGCAGGCAGGAAGGAAGGAAGGAAGGAAGAAAGGAAATAAGGAGGGAAGGAGGGAACAAGGAAAGGAGGGAAGGACGAAAGGAAGGAAGGAAGAAAGGAGGGAAGGAGGAAAGGAGGGAAGGAGGAAAGGAGGGAAGGAGGAAAGGAGGGAAGGAGGAAAGGAGGGAAGGAGGAAAGGAGGGAAGGAGGGAAGGAGGGAAGGATGCAAGGGGGGAACGAAGGGAAGGAAGGAAGGGAAGGAAGGAAGGAAGGAAGGAAGGACCATGTGTGCAGTCAACACTTGCAGCTTGCAGCCACCACGGGCAGCGTGCAAAGTGCTGCTGAGCTGCTAGAGCTGAGGGGGTTCCAAAACTATTTTCTGGCCTTGTTCGGGCCTCGTTTTGGCATCGTTTTTGGCCTCGTTCGGAACCCGTTGCAGAAATACTGAGTTGAGATGCAAGTCAGAGCCACATAGATTTGTGACCAAAACATACCAAAACATACATGAACCATGCGCTCACATTTTGTTTTGAGACTTGTGCCTATGTGCTTCTCTGTTGGTACGCATTGCGGGGGGAGGCGCTGCGCCCTCCCCCCTGCACCCCCCCACCCGCTTTTATTTTTAAACCGGTTCCCCTTGCTACCTACTATTCCTTTCTTTTTGCATAAGCATCATCGTTTATTTGGGTTAATTTCATCTTTGTTGATATCCATCGAGACTTGTGCCTATGTGCTTCTTTCTTGATCTTCTCGTTCTTACTTGCAATATATCCATTGAGACTTGTGCCTATGTGCTTCTCTCTTGGTACGCATTGCGGGGGGAGGCGCTGCGCCCTCCCCCCTGCACCCCCCCACCCGCTTTTATTTTTAAACCGGTTCCCCTTGCTACCTACTATTCCTTTCTTTTTGCATAAGCATCATCGTTATTTGGGTTAATTTCATCTTTGTTGATATCCATCGAGACCTCTGCCTATGTGCTTCTTTCTTGATCTTCTCGTTCTTACTTGCAATATATCCATTGAGACTTGTGCCTATGTGCTTCTCTCTTGGTACGCATTGCGGGGGGAGGCGCTGCGCCCTCCCCCCTGCACCCCCCCACCCGCTTTTATTTTTAAACCGGTTCCCCTTGCTACCTACTATTCCTTTCTTTTTGCATAAGCATCATCGTTTATTTGGGTTAATTTCATCTTTGTTGATATCCATCGAGACTTGTGCCTATGTGCTTCTTTCTTGATCTTCTCGTTCTTACTTGCAATATATCCATTGAGACTTGTGCCTATGTGCTTCTCTCTTGGTACGCATTGCGGGGGGAGGCGCTGCGCCCTCCCCCTGCACCCCCCCACCCGCTTTTATTTTTAAACCGGTTCCCCTTGCTACCTACTATTCCTTTCTTTTTGCATAAGCATCATCGTTTATTTGGGTTAATTTCATCTTTGTTGATATCCATCGAGACTTGTGCCTATGTGCTTCTTTTTTGATCTTCTCGTTCTTACTTGCAATATATCCATTGAGACTTGTGCCTATGTGCTTCTCTCTTGGTACGCATTGCCGGGGGAGGCGCTGCGCCCTCCCCCCTCCCCCACCCGCTTTTATTTTTAAACCGGTTCCCCTTGCTACCTACTAACTATTCCTTTCTTTTTGCATCAGCATCATCGTTTATTTGGGTTAATTTCATCTTTGCTGATATCCATCGAGACTTGTGCCTATGTGCTTCTTTCTTGATCTTCTCGTTCTTGCTTGCAATATATCCATTGAGACTTGTGCCTATGTGCTTCTCTCTTGGTACGCATTGCGGGGGGAGGCGCTGCGCCCTCCCCCCTGCACCCCCCCACCCGCTTTTATTTTTTAACCGGTTCCCCTTGCTACCTACTATTCCTTTCTTTTTGCATAAGCATCATCGTTTATTTGGGTTAATTTCATCTTTGTTGATATCCATCGAGACTTGTGCCTAAGTGCTTCTTTCTTGATCTTTTCGTTCTTACTTGCAATATATCCATTGAGACTTGTGCCTATGTGCTTCTCTCTTGGTACGCATTGCACCCCCCACCCGCTTTTATTTTTAAACCGGTTCCCCTTGCTACCTACTATTCCTTTCTTTTTGCATAAACATCATCGTTTATTTGGGTTAATTTCATCTTTGTTGATATCCAGCGAGACTTGTGCCTATGTGCTACTGCTACTGCTACTGCTGCTGCTGCTGCTGCTCCTGCTCCTACTACTACTACTACTACTACCATTACTACTACTACTACTACTACTACTACTACCATCACTACTACTACTACTACGACGACGACGACGACTACTACGACGACTACGACGACTACTACGACTACGACGACGACTACGACTACGACGACGACTACGACTACGACGACGACTACGACTACGACTACGACTACGACTACTGCTACTGCTACTGCTACTACTACTACTACTACTGCTACTGCTACTGCTACTGCTACTGCTACTGCTACTACTACTACTACCACTACTACTACTACTACTACTTCTACTACTACTACTACTACTACAACTGCTACTCCTATACTACTACTACTACTACTGCTACTACTACTACTACTACTTCTACTACTACTACTACTACGACGATATTTTTTTTTGATACGGATATTTTTTTTTGATCTAGGTTTGCAGCACGAAACCCGTGAGGTCTCACACAGTGGCACCAGGATATTTTTTTTTTACATGCATGCATACATACATACATACATACATACATACACACACATACATACACACATACATACATACATACATACATACATGCATGCATACATACATACATACATACACACACACATACATACACACATACATACATACATACATACATACATACATACATACATACATACATACATACATACATACATACATACACACACATACATAACATTACATTACATTACATTACATTACATTACATTACATTACATTACATTACATACATACATACATACATATATTCCCCAATTTCACAAAAGGAGTGGTGTTGCGTTTACCAGTTTCCTAAGGTATGGAAAATGGCTTCTAGAGCCAGAACGTGATGTTTCATCGACATTTTGATTCGAGCTTTACTTGGCTATCCAAACATGTTGATATAATCAGCAAAATGGTGATATAGTCCAAGAAGAGGATTATTTTCGATACAAAAATAGGTACAGAACACAGTACATGCGTGTCAATCACTTTGTGTATGTTTTGCGCAAAACATGAGAACACCTGTATATATATAGATAGATAGATAGATAGATAGATAAATGTGGCCACTCTTCAATACAGGGATGATGCTGCCCATCAATGATGGGTCATCCTGGAATCGAAGCGAAGATCGTAACATTCCTAGTGTCTTTGGACAATGGTAAAAAGGACAGAATGGCTGATGGATTGAAGAAAACCCCACATGAGATAGTTATTTAAACAACATGGGATAATTAGCCAACAAGATGGTAGGGCTATCGTCTACACTGGAGAAGATGAATGTTGGTTGTACATTTTGGGTGGAAACCAACAATCCCCTTGGAGGGTGAGGGATTTATTTGAAGGTGACAAGACACAACAAGCGGCTTCAGCGGGATACCTGGTACCCACTCAAAGTGGTACTTGCATATTACAGTGACACTTTCTTACAGGATTGGACGATAAGATCAATAAGTCAATAAGTGAACACATTACAGGACAATTCCATTATTTGGATGTAGCCCTACCCAGCAGTACCCAGGTGTATGCAATGTCAATGGTACTGTAATTCCTCTGGTCAACAGGTGTTGATGGCTCTGGTGTTCATTGGTTTCTGACACAACAGTAAGACATCATCAAGCACCGCTGAATCCGCTTAGTCATGAATAATGGGGTGACATATTCCATTGTCATATTCGAATTTACTTACTGTCAGGATGGGTTCTACGCGTGAACGAGCACCTTGGGGATTCTTTGGCTGACAGTCACAGTAGCAGAGAAACAATACACACTGGGCCAAGCGAACAATCTGGGCAATCTGGGCAATCTGGACAATCTGAGCACTCTGGGCAATCTGGACAATCTGAACAACCTGAGCACCCTGGGCAATCTGGACAATCTGGGCAATCTGAGTACTCTGGGGAATGTGGACAATCTGGGCAATCGGAGTTCTCTGGGCAATCTGGGCAATCTGAACACTGTCACTCTGGGCAATCTGGTTCGGATGAGGAGAGGACGGTTTCCGATCCTCATCTGCCTCGTTCATCCGAATCGACATCAGCTGAGAGCCGACGAGCTGTTCCAGATCCAGTCACAGCTGTTCCTCGTCCAGTGGGTCTACAGTCACCAGCAAGGGATCCCAAGTCTGGGTCTGCCGAGGATCATCGGAATGAGCCCTGTCTCTTCCATTCCTACTTGTACCAAGGCTGTCTAAAAGGGGATCAGTGTGAATATTCACATCTTATCCATGCCGATCAAATCCAGATCCCGGGGCCCAAGACCCGGCGCGGCCACGCCCTCATGCGCATCAAACGGCGCTTGGCGCAATGGCTAAGCACCGCAGATCTGTATTTGGTGCATCACGAGCTCCAGGAAGAGGCGCGGAAGGACCCCTACGCCAAGGACTGCGAAAAATCCTTGGAATATGGAATATCATTGGGATAGAATAGGCGGCGATATTTGGATGTGTCAGAAACCAGGGGATTCCCCCCCCTTTCATGGCCAATCTGAGGAAAATGAGGTGATGTTCCAGTGGCATGGGCAGCACCTCATTTTCAGACAAACCCATGTAAGATATTTCTTACATGGTGCGAACGGTCTTGGTTTGCCTTTGCCCAGAATTTTAAGCATTTCTCTGGAATATGACCCGTTGAAGGGACTGATTGTCAAGAAAAACATGATATTTTGGGATTTTGGGGTACATACCTATATTTTGGGGCCAAAGTGTGTTTCTTTTTTAGGGTTGTCTATTATTATGTATGATTTGTGATAGGCTTCCTGATCGTGATTAATCGTGTATGCCCATGATGAGGGTGACTTTTTAGATTTTTTTACGGACAGGGGTGGCCACAACCGCCCAGTAGAGAGGAAAGAGTTCCAGGATGTTGTGGATGATCTTCAGTTCGGAATTTCCAGGCGTCCAATGTTACGTAGGCTACGGGTGGGGGAGTGTTCTTGTCAATGAAAACTCGGAAAACATCCGGGAAAACTGGCAAACAAACGGTGAGGAACTGATCCGAAGGCATCTCACACGCCCCAAACAGTGGTGATGCGGCAGAAGTCACGTTGTCGGAGCGGGCCTTGATGAGAGGTTTGTGGATGAAGTGGAAATGCGGAAATGAATGATAATGATAATATATATATATAATTATATAGATACATATATATATATATATCATATATCACATGCGCATTTACTCATATCATCTCATGATTTTTGATCTAAATTTGAACACATGTACTTATCGTTTTTTCTAGGGTATGCTTAGAGGTTGTTGAACTCTATAATTGAATGAAAAAAGGGTCGTGGAAGCTTGATAGGAGCTGCGTTTCATGGGTTGATTAGTGCGGATCACTTCCGTTACAATTTGAGATTGTCTGAAAATATTGGATTCTTATTTTCCCCATTACTGCAAAACTATTTTATACTTGCCATTTTGGGGGTAAAAAGATGGTATGTACCCCTTGTTCAGACACAGCCATTTGCAGATTTGGACTCCAATCTCTCTACAGTAACAAACATTCCCTCTTTCAGACAGGATCAGATTCGTTGACGGGTCTCTATGACGTGCTTTTCCAGATTAACCCTTGCTCCTCAAAATATGATGATTTAGCGCTGGATTAGATCAATAAGTTTAGACCCGGAAGACTGACAAAGCATGGCTATGTCAAATAAGAAACTCACCTTGAAAGCCCATTGGTGGAGTTCCATGTGATCGTTTTTTTGGGGTGTACACAATACAATATAATCAATATACATTCCTGTACACAAGGGTGCCAATATCTTACCAAAGCGAAATTCAACCTGAATTCACGCCACCAGTTTCAGCCTTCTGCTTGTTTTCAGAGAGATGCGCCTTCAGTTTTGCATGTTTTCACTTCTTCCAGACACCTTGGCTCAGCAGAGCCAGCAGTACTGTCACAAAGCCAAATCGGGACAAGCAACAATTGGCCGATCATGGTTCAAGGCCCCCAAACAAGCAAATGCACATAATTCTACAGGGCACAAGTTCGAATGCAGTGGTTTTGTGAGTTCGCAATCCCGATTCTTGCAGCTACAGTGGCCTGGTATCGGCATTTAGTGGATGATATTTTAGATTGCTCATCGTCTCGAGACACTGTGTCAAGAGATGAGGTGGCACCTGTAGAAACCTGTCCAGATCCGTGCTTGAGATGTGATATGTTTTTGTTGATTCATTTTGCTTCAGGTGTCAGAAACAAAAAAAGGTACTGCTGCAGTTCTCTTCTGGTTCTGTTGAGGCTTGAATGGTTTACTTGGCTCGGGTTTCTACATGCCCATGTTCCTGAGTTTTGTTGAAATCAGTGTACCTATACAGGGTCAGTCTCGAGGCTTGTTGAGGAAAACAGGCCCAAGACGAGCGTTCAGTGGAAGAAGATGAAGTAGATGAGTAATGATGAGTGTATTTTGGTCATTGAATGCACTTGTTACGACATCTTTTGACATGATGATCTTTTATGGGGATGCGTTACCTCGTCAAACCAAACACTACCGAGTGAAGCCAACATAATTTCTTGCTCAATGATAGCAGTTTCATGGCGAGAAAAAGATAGTTTCTTCATACTTCTTCCAGACACCTTGGCTCAGCAGAGCCAGCAGTACCGTCACAAAGCCAAATCGGGACAAGCAACAATTGGTTGATCATGGTTCAAGGCCCCCAAAAAAGCAAATGCACATAATTCTACAGGGTACAAATTCATACAAATTCGAATGCAGTGGTTTTGTGAGTTCGCAAACCCGATTCTTGCAGCTACAGTGGCTTGGTATTGGCATCTAATAGACGATGTTTCACATGTTTTGTATCATCTCGAGACGCACGGAGCGGTTTTGACTTGGACCGCAAGTGTCAAGAGATGAGGTGGAACCTGTAGGAACCTGAAGTTGTCCAGGTCACTTCTTGAGATGTGATATGTTTTGGATTCATTGTGTGTCAGGTGAAACAGTTTCAGGTGGCGCAAAAGGGTTTCCATCTCATTCTCTCAACAGCTCCACTGGAAATCGTGGCTCAGCACAGAATGTGGCAAGCTGTCCATCTCGAGGGTCGAGGAACACAGGCCCAAGACGAGTGTGAGGAAGATGAAGAAGTGGATGAGTAACGATGAGTGTACTTTAGTCGTTGAACGCACTTCTTAGACATGAATCATTTATTTGATATGGTGAGTGAGAATAGTACCATAGGGTAACAATCACCTTTACAACTCCTTTACAATGCCGCATGTGCAGGGTGGATCCATTTCTATCGTTTCTTATCTGTTATTGTATGATCATTTAGGATGCCAAACACTACCGAGGGAAGCCATCATGAGTTTCATGGCGGGAAGAAATTGACTTCTTCATACTTCTTCCAGACACCCCGGCTCAGGAGCCAGCAGTACCGTCACAAAGCCAAATCGGGACAAGCAATAATTGATCGATCATGGTTCAAGGCCCCCAAACAAGCAAATGCACATAATTCTACAGGGTACAAATTCATTGCAGTGGTTTTGTGAGTTCGCAAACCCGATTCTTGCAGCTACAGTGGCCTGGTACCGTATTGGCATAATTTAGTGGATGATATTTTAGATTGCTCATCATCTCGAGACTGTGTAGAAATATGAGGTGGCACCTGTAGAAACCTGCCCAGATCCGTGCTTGAGATGTGATATGTTTTTGTTGATTCATTTTGCTTCAGGTGTCAGAAACAAAAAAAGGTACTGCTGCAGTTCTCTTCTGGTTCTGTTGAGGCTCGAATTGTTTACTTGGCTCGGGTTTCTACATGCCCATGTTCCGGAGTTTTGTTGAATTCGGTGTACCTATACAGGGTCAGTCTCGAGGCTTGTTGAGGAAAACAGGCCCAAGACGAGCGTTCAGTGGAAGAAGATGAAGTAGATGAGTAATGATGAGTGTATTTTGGTCGTTGAATGCACTTCTTACGACATCTTTTGACATGATGATCTTTTATGGGGATGCGTTACCTCGTCAAACCAAACACTACCGAGTGAAGCCAACATAATTTCTTGCTCAATGATAAAAGTTTCATGGCGAGAAAAAGATAGTTTCTTCATACTTCTTCCAGACACCTTGGCTCAGCAGAGCCAGCAGTACCGTCACAAAGCCAAATCGGGACAAGCAACAATTGGTCGATCATGGTTCAAGGCCCCCAAAAAAGCAAATGCACATAATTCTACAGGGTACAAATTCATACAAATTCGAATGCAGTGGTTTTGTGAGTTCGCAAACCCGATTCTTGCAGCTACAGTGGCTTGGTATTGGCATCTAATAGACGATGTTTCACATGTTTTGTATCATCTCGAGACGCACGGAGCGGTTTTGACTTGGACCGCAAGTGTCAAGAGATGAGGTGGAACCTGTAGGAACCTGAAGTTGTCCAGGTCACTTCTTGAGATGTGATATGTTTTGGATTCATTGTGTGTCAGGTGAAACAGTTTCAGGTGGCGCAAAAGGGTTTCCATCTCATTCTCTTGAACAGCTCCACTGGAAATCGTGGCTCAGCACAGAATCTGGCAAGCTGTCCATCTCGAGGGTCGAGGAACACAGGCCCAAGACGAGTGTGAGGAAGATGAAGAAGTGGATGAGTAACGATGAGTGTATTTTAGTCGTTGAACGCACTTCTTAGACATGAATCATTCATTTGATATGGTGAGTGAGAATAGTACCATAGGGTAACAATCACCTTTACAACTCCTTTACAATGCCGCATGTGCAGGGTGGATCCATTTCTATCGTTTCTTATCTGTTATTGTATGATCATTTAGGATGCCAAACACTACCGAGGGAAGCCATCATGAGTTTCATGGCGGGAAGAAATTGACTTCTTCATACTTCTTCCAGACACCCCGGCTCAGGAGCCAGCAGTACTGTCACAAAGCCAGATCGGGATAAAACAGAAGGTATATATACGTATATATAATATATTATACTAGTACATATAATTTTACCCACAGACGCCGTGTGTTTCCCAGACATTAACATTGAGAATGTCGTGCTGTCGAATATATGATAGGAGAGATTCCAGAAAATACTGCGTATACGCAGTGTTCTCCAGTGTAGGATTCAAAGTTTTCAGAGCCTAGGTTTTAGGGTTTGGGGTTTGGGATTTTAGGGTTTGGCGTTTTAGGGTTTAGGATGGTTTAGGGTTTGGGATGGTCTGGGAAATCTCAAAACACTGGCCCTGCCCAGGTGTTTCGCTCTGCGTCTCAGCTTCCAGGAGGCGTCTCTGCATCGCGTGAATCAGCTGCTGATTTGAATATGCCAAGACTCACCAGCTGAGGTGTTTTCATTTCCCCCGATTTTAAGTGTCAAATCTCCAAGTCACATGAGTTTGGCGACATTGATGCAATTTGTTCGGCTGCTGCATGCAGTTTTTTTTCAGATCCAGAAAGCAAAGTACGATGGGCCATTACGATGGGTATAGCCTAGCCGATAAAGACACCGATCTAAAATTGGAAATTAAAATAAATTAAACTAAATGAATGACTATTACGAAAGCCAGCCGGGAAGCTGGCTAGTTGTTATTTGCAAACGAAGTGAGAATAGGGGGTCTGGGGGGGGGGTAGCTGTCAAACGGGCCGATATGGTTTTGCAGTTTTGCAGGGTAATGTACCAGGCGGCAAAACAGTGACGGTGGGTATCGATTCCCCCTAGGTCCGGTTTTCTGGGGTTTTCTGGGCTCAGTCAATGGACAGATAGATGGACAGCTAGTTAGAGGAGATTGGAGAGAGAAGGACATTGGGTGAAAAGTATGTGCAAGAAGGGTTTCTGGGTGAAGAGTCTCTGGGTAAAAAGTATATGGTTGAAAGTCTGTGCAAGAAGAGTTTCTGGGTGAAGAGTCTCTGGGTGAAGAGTATATGGGTGAAATGTTTGTGCAAGAAGAGTTTCTGGGTGAAGAGTCTATGGGTGAAAAGAATATTGGTGAAAAGTATGTGCAAGAAGAGTTTCTGGGTGAAGAGTCTCTGGGTGAAAAGTAAATGAGTGAAAAGTACGTGCAAGAAGAGTTTCTGGGTGAAGAGTCTCTGAGTAAAAAGTATATGGGTGAAAAGTATGTGCAAGAAGAGTTTCTGGGTGAAGAGTCTCTGAGTGAAAAGTACATGGGTGAAAAGTATGTGAAAGAAGAGTTTCTGGGTGAAAAGTATGTGCGAGAAGAGTTTCTGGGTGAAGAGTCTGGGTGAAAAGTATATGGGTAAACAGTATGTGCAAGAAGAGTTTCTGGGTGAAAAGTATGTGCAAGAAAGTTTCTGGGTGAAGAGTCTCTGGGTGAAAAGTATATGAGTGAAAAGTAGGTGCACGAAGAGTTTCTGGGTGAAGAGTTCCTGGGTGAAAAGTATATGGGTGAAAAGTATGTGCAAGAAGAGTTACTTGGTGAAGAGTCTATGGGTGTAAAGAATATGGGTGAAAAGTATGTGCAAGAAGAGTTTCTGGGTAAAGAGTCTCTGGGTGAAGAGTCTGTGCAAGAAGAGTTTCTGGGTGAAGAGTCTCTGGGTGAAAACTATGTACAAGAAGAGTTTCTGGATGAAGAGTCTCTGGATGAAAAGTATATGGGTGAAAAGTATATGGGTGAAAAGTATGTGCAAGAAGAGTTTCTGGGTGAAGAGTCTCTGGGTGAAAAGTATGTGCAAGAAGGGTTTCTGGGTGAAGAGTCTCTGGGTGAAAAGTATATGGGTGAAAAGTCTGTGCGAGAAAAGTTTCTGGGTGAAGAGTCTCTGGGTGAAAAGTATATGGGCGAAAAGTATGTGCAAGAAGAGTTTCTGGGTGAAAAGTATATGGGTGAAATGTATGTGCAAGAAAAGTTTCTAGGTGAAGAGTCTCTGGGTGAAAAGTATATTGGTGAAAAGTATGTGCAAGAAGAGTTTCTGCGTGAAGAGTCTCTGGGTGAAAAGTATATGGGTGAAAAGTATGTGCAAGAAGAGTTTCTGGGTGAAGAGTCTCTGGGTGAAAAGTATATGGGTGAAAAGTATGTGTAAGAAGAGTTTCTGGGTGAAGAGTCTGTGGGTGAAAAGTTTATGGGTGAAAAGTATGTGCAAGAAGAGTTTCTGGGTGAAGAGTCTCTGGGTGAAAAGTATATTGGTGAAAAGTATGTGCAAGAAGAGTTTCTGGGTGAAGAGTCTCTGGGTGAAAAGTATATGGTTGAAAAGTATGTGCAAGAAGAGTCTCTGGGTGAAAAGTATATGGGTGAAAAGTATGTGCAACAAGAGTTTCTGGGTGAAGAGTCTCTGGGTGAAGAGTATATGGGTGAAATGTCTGTGCAAGAAGAGTTTCTGGGTGAAGAGTCTCTGGGTGAAAAGTATTTGAGTGAAAAGTATGTGCACGAAGAGTTTCTGGGTGAAGAGTCTCTGGGTGAAAAGTATATGGATGAAAAATATGTGCAAGAAGAGTTTCTGGGTGAAGAGTCTCGGGGTGAAAAGTATATGGGTGAAAGTATGTGTAAGAAGAGTTTCTGGGTGAAGAGTCTTTTGCAAGAAGAGTTCTGGGTGAGAGTTCCTGGGTGAAAAGTATATGGGTGAAAAGTATGTGGACAGAAGAGTTTTCTGGGTGAAGTGAGTCCTCTGGGTGAAAAGTATATGGGTGAAATGCCTGTGCAAGAAGAGTTTCTGGGTGAAGAGTTTCAGGGTGAAAAGTATATGGGTGAAATGCCTGTGCAAGAAGAGTTTCTGGGTGAAGAGTCTCTGGGTGAAAAGTATATGGGTGAAAAGTATGTGCGAGAAGAGTTTCTGGGTGAAGAGTCTCTGAATGAAAAAAATACGGGTGAAAAGTATATGCAAGGAGAATTTCTGGGTGAAAAGCCTGTGCAAGAAGAGTTCCTGGGTCAAAATTATGTGCAAGAAGAGTTTCTGGGTGAAGAGGCCCTGGGTGAAAAGTATATGGGTGAAAAGTATGTGCAAGAAGAGTTTCTGGGTGAAGAGTCTCTGGGTGAAAAGTCTGTGCAAGAAGAGTTTCTGGGTGAAGGGTCTCTGGGTGAAAAGTATATGGGTGACATGTATGTGCAAGAAGAGTTTCTGGGTGAAGAGTGGGTGAAAAGTATATGGGTGAAAAGTATGTGCAAGAAGAGTTTCTGGGTGAAGAGTCTCTGGGTGAAAAGTATATGGGTGAAAAGTATGTGCAAGAAGAGTCTTTGGGTGAAAAGTATATGGTGAAATGTCTGTGCAAGAAGAGTTTCTGGGTGAAGAGTCTCTGGGTGAAGAGTATATGGGTGAAATGTCTGTGCAAGAAGAGTTTCTGGGTGAAGAGTCTCTGGGTGGAAAGTATATGGGTGTAAAGTATGTGCAAGAAGAGTCTCTGGGTGAAAAGTATATGGGTGAAAAGTATGTGCAAGAAGAGTTTCTGGGTGAAGAGTCTCTGGGTGAAAAGTATATGGGTGAAAAGTATGTGCAAGAAGTGTTTCTGGGTGAAGAGTCTCTGGATGAAAAGTATATGAGTGAAAAGTATGTGCAAGAAGAGTTTCTGGGTGAAGAGTCTCTGGGTGAAAAGTATATGGGTGAAAAGTATGTGCAAGAAGAGTTTCTGGGTGAAGAGTCTCTGGGTGAAAAGTATATGGGTGAAAGGTATGTGCAAGAAGAGTTTCTGGGTGAAGAGTCTCTGGGTGAAAAGTATATGGGTGAAAAGTATGTGCAAGAAGAGTTTCTGGGTGAAGAGTCTCTGGGTGAAAAGTATATGGGTGAAAAGTATGTGCAAGAAGAGTTTCTGGGTAAAGAGTCTCTGGGTGAAAAATCTATGCCAGAAGAGTTTCTGGGTGAAGAGCCTCTGGGTGAAGAGTATATGGGTGAAAAGTATATTGGTGAAAAGTATGTGCAAGAAGAGTTTCTGGGTGAAGAGTCCCTGGGTGAAAAGTATGTGCAAGAAGGGTTTCTGGGTGAAGAGTCTGTGGGTGAAAAGTATATGGGTGAAAAGTATGTGTAATAAGAGTTTTTGGGTGAAGAGTCTCTGGGTGAAAAGTGTATGGGTCAAACGTATGTGCAAGAAAGTTTTTGGGTGAAGAGTGTGTGGGTGAAAAGTATATGGGTGAAAAATATGTGCAAGAAGAGTTTCTGGGTGAAGAGTCTCTGGGTGAAAAGTATATGGGTGAAAAGTATGTGCAAGAAGAGTTTCTGGGTGAAAAGTCTGTGCAATAAGAGTTTCTGGGTGAAGAGTCTCTGGGTGAAAAGTATATGGGTGAAAAGTATGTGCAAGAAGGGTTTCTGGGTGAAGAGTCTCTGGGTGAAAAGAATATGGGTGAAAAGTATGTGCAAGAAGAGTTTCTGGGTGAAGAGTCTCTGGGTGAAAAGTATATGGGTGAAAAGTATGTGCAAGAAGGGTTTCTGGGTGAAGAGTCTCTGGGTGAAAAATATTGGGGGACATAGGGATAGATGGGATGCTGGCTTTCGTTCCCCCCTTCTCAGGTTTTAATAAGTAATAAGTTATAAACATTTTAACCTAGAGCATTATAGCACTTTTTAGTAATAACCCATATGCTCCATGTATGGAATATTTACCAACATTTGCCCGAACAAAATCACCCAGTTTTCTAGGTAAATATACCAGCACCATGGATCCTATGGGTAATGGTGATTTATAGTGGGTTTTCCCATTAATAGCATGGTGGATCTTTCCATAGATATCTTTGGTTTCAAACCATTTGTAGCTGACGAGGTTTCGGCTGACGGTGGAGGCGAAGGTACCGTCAGACGATTCATCCTGTTGGGGCGCCGCATCGAATGATCAACGAATCAAGGAGAAATCACTGATGCCCTGGGATGATTGTACTAGGGAACGTAGGAAAACCATAGGAAAACCATAGGAAAATGGTGATTCAATGGCTTTTAATGTGATTTAATGGTGATTTAATGTGATACCCTCTGGTAAACGTTTACATAACTATGGAAAGATCCACCATGCTATTAATGGGAAAATCCACTATAAATCACCATTTTCAATAGCTATTTAACAAATTACCAGAGGGTAGCATCCCTGTAGCAAAATGCCTGTCTCCTCAGATTCGTATGAAGCACGAGGAAATTGCCTGTTCTGCCAAGTGAAAAGATCAACCTCTTGTTGAGCAGCCGCGTTGAAGCCATGATGTTTGTTCAACAAAATCTAATGTCTTTTCCCTCGGCACTGCGCGTGCTTTATGTGCAGCATCCTAAAAGCATTTCAGCCAACGCTGCCAAATTTGACACTCGTCGGCTGAAAGGCTTCATCGTGGATATTGACAACTCTCGAAATACATTGGCCCAACAA